GGCTGTGTCCGTTGGGGTGTCCTCTTCGGTAACGTTGTCGCTGGAGTTTTCATTAACATTTTCTGCCGTCTTTCTCTTTTATCTCTCTCCTACTCCTGACGTACAGGTGGGCACGGCTGCGGTAGCCCAAACACTAGCACGTGTGCCGGCACCAGCTGCTACTCCACCGCTCTGCGCTGTGTGCCTCAACTTAACCTGACGTGGCTGTGAATCTATTCCAGTCACATGATTGGTTCGGCACAAAGGCAGTTCTCATTATCATTGGCTGTACATGTTTTCTGTCAAAACATGAATGAATGAGTTCTATGGACGTTGTATCGACCAAGTCTTATATTTCTATCGAGGAACAGTCATTTCGCAATAATTATCTTTATCGTTATATCGCCCAGCCCTTGTTCACATAATGAACTTCTAACAGCACAATAAACACTATATTTAACTCCAAAATCAGAGCTCACTCTCATTTTCACATTCAATCTGTTCGTGTAGGTGGTAAAGAGGTGTCAGGTGCAGATGTGCCTTGTCCCCAGTGTTTTCTGTGCACCTGGTTACCCTAACAGCATGGTCATGCTCCACCCCCACCATCTTGGCAGTGTTTAACTCCGCCCCTAACTCCAAATTTAATCCAAAAATGGACAAAGACGCGGGGCGTGTTTGGAGCTGAGACCTCAGTGTATGCCAGTGTAATAACTGTAGCAACCATATGTTCCTGTTAGCATTGTTAGCACAGCTGGCTATCTTGCTTATGGGTGAACCCAAGGCTGATTCATTTGCTGACTAATTAGCTGGTTAAAGAGTTAACAAGCCAGATATGGTGAGCGCAGACACTGATACCTGCTAATTAGTGCTAACATAACACCAACAGCACAAATTAGCTGAGGTGATGCCTGGAAAAATTTAGGAGTGCAAAAAAAACTTTAGGGGGACAATGAAAATATATCAAATAATGTGTCTTTGCTTAATAAAGTGATAGGAGACACTGAACAACAAAACAGGGTTTTTCATTATTTCAGGCTGCCACAGTCATGGAAATCAATGCATGTCATATTGCTTTAAGACCACCTTATTTTCACTTACTAGATCAAAATCCTGCCTCATCGTACTGGTTTTACAAGATATTCTCTGTCCCACTTTCTATCTCGCTTGTATAAAACATATCGCATTTGCGTGGGGCTGTGTAACATCTTAGAAACAACAGTTAACCAACATTGTACAGTAATAAAATATTAGTTTAACTGACTAGTATTAGATATACTGTAATCATTTGGTGTCTTTGTTTAATCAGTGTATAATATTATAAAATTTTGTACATATATCCAGAGGTCACCAATATGACATCATGATATTATCTTTATATTATATATATTATCTTAATTACACTATTTATATTCAACTTGACCAGACACAGAGTTAAACAGCAGCTTACCCTTTCTGTCAGTGTTCCTGTGCTCAGCAAAGCCAGATACTATCTGTTCATCAGGGGGGAAAGACACATGTTTTCCTCCCTTACTTCTCTTCATCTGGTTCTTGTTGACTTCTTCTGCAATATCATCGCTCTGCTCGTCATTTTCTTTGTCACTACAGCGGGTCATCCCTTTGTTCAGGACCAAGGAGTTTTCAGAATTTGAACTTCAAAGCAGGAAACGCTGGATGTGTCAACAGCTAGTGTATCTCCTCTGTGGAACCATGGCAACAGTTCCTGATCCTAATTGAGAGAGGGAGCAGAAATGTGCGCGAGAGTTTATGTAAAAACAGTTGTAGCTACGGCATTTCTTGGATGTGAATTGCTGCTCTTTGGAAATACAAGGCACTGAAGAAACAATATCTTATTCATGAGTTGTGCACCGGGTTGCAAGTGAAACCCAATACATTTGGATCCAATGACACATTCAAAACAGGTAGGGCTCTGCACATGTGCCTATTCAAATTCAGCATTTACAGCACCATTCAGGAGTATACAGGCAATAAGATGGGCAGGTAGAAAGGTCCACCTTTTTGAACTTTGGGTCAGTTGTAGTAACAAACTCACAAATATAATATATTATTCAAATATTTTATTATATATTATAACTCAGTTCTGCAGCTTTTTTTTAGCCTCTTTTAGCCTGTTTTAGCTACTGTTTTGGTATTCTGAACCACAAACTCCTCTCTTGCTTTTGGCTGCAATAAAATCATCATCGTGGCCATGATGACATGTTTCATATTTTATGAAAGTTCACACCAAAGTTGAGATTTGTCTGAACCTCCTATAGGGTTTTTTCCTGCATAGAGAATTGGGAGGCGGAAGCCTCTGTCAAATTTCATGCCGCCTCCCGACACTTGTTTTCTCTGTAATCGGTGGATTTGATGTTTGTAACTGCAATTGCAGCTGTATGCCGCTACGGCAATGTAGTGGCACTGTATCGTAATCTGTGCATCAGGCAGAGCCATCCGAAGTTGCCGAAGAAGAAGAATACGAACGCGCTGGATTTTCTGCATGCGTAAGGAGGCGGCGACCTGATTTTGCGGCTCTTCAAACAACTGAATAGGGTCGCCACCGGTATTAGAAAATAAAATGCTGTGTCCTGGATTGAATAAATACGGGATGCCTCCGCCTACCAACAAAATTCTAGTACTTGTTTTCTTGGTACTCTGTGGATTTGAGTGAATATGGGACGCAATTTGTCCCGTATTTTCATTCATGTTATGTCCTCAAAGAGCCGTGAATATTTTAATATCAAGTAAAACCAAACCAGTTGCCACCTTTATTCACATAAAAGGTGACAAACCTACAGATGAATATAATCTCTTTTACATCCAAGCACACCCAGCTTCTTGAAAAGTTTCCCTACATTAACGTTACACTCATAAAGCGATTCTAGGAGCAACTTCCTCTTTATCTCTCTCCCAATAAATGTGAAAACATGTCTGTCTTGTTTGGAATGGTAATGCTAATTCTACGAATGTGGAAGCTGGACTCTGGACCCATATATGATTTGTGGTTGGGAGAAATTGCAAACACACTACACTTGGAGAGACTGAGATTTTACAATGAATATGGATGACGTGTTTGCTAAGATCTGGGACCCTGCACTGACATTCTTTTAGGGGTAGAGTTAATGTGTTGCGTCCAGTGTAAAACATCCTGCTGAGTATTCTGTATCCCCTTTTTTATAAATATAATTTTGTTCTTTTAAAAGAAACACTGCCTTGCACCTAATTTTTCTGTGACTGTGGCCACTGTTGTTATGTATGATGTGCTGTGTTTGTGTGTGTAACTGCAGACATGCATATATTATATTATATATATATTATATATTTTTGTGTATGTGTGTGTAATGTCTCCTCAAAGCTTTTAAAGTGGCAACGATCAATTAAGAAACAGATATTTTCTCAGCAGTTGGTAGAGACCAAAAACTGAGCTAAAAGAAAGTCAGTATTGGACTTACAGTCATCAGGTGGACACAAACAGGACTCAGAATTAAGGATAATGTTGTTCTGTCTGCTGCACATGAGCCATAACAATTTTATAAGGTAAAAATACATCAATTGTTGTGTTGTCTGTTGTTACACTGCCCCAAAGTGGCCTAAAAATAAATAAATGCAGCTTTGTTTTATGATTGCATTTAGTGGGTTTTACTCATTAATATAATCCATAAAAAGAGATGTGTAGTGAAATATATATACTGTATATATATATATATATATATATATATACATATCATTTTCTTTTAATACAAATTGTTGAAAATACCCTTTGGCTGTCAATCGACATTTCAACCATATGCATGTCTATCTTTACATTTTGCCCAAATGAAATGGGAACACACTAGTCATTACAATGATTTTCATTTTTTCCTATAGGGCAACACCATCAATGGGTTAATATTGGTTTGATTTGGTCATTTTATTTTGGCAGGCACACGCACCTGATGAAACCACCTGTCACAATCACAAAGCAATGTACCAGGGTCACAGATGTAATGTAACTATATTTTCCTCATTAATTCCAAATTTTTTCACAGCTGTTGACACACCAGATGTACAGCTGAGGCTGATCGAAATGTCATTAGATGCTTAAGATATTTGGTTATAAACTAAAGTATTGATGATGATGGAGAGAGCTCATTACAGATCATCCTGAGGGGAACATAGATGGGTTTTTTTTTTTACAATTTCATGGCAATTCATCCAGTAGTTGTTGAGATATTATGGTCTGGATCAAAGCGGCGGGCAGACTAACACACCTGTAGCATGAATATATTGGTCAAATCAGGTTTAACTGGTGCCTCACTGCTGTCTACTATATACTGTTGTTTTCATTTTGAACTTGTTTGATTTTCTACTTCCATGTATGGAGATGTTCCACCACAATAACAACATAGTAACATCAAAATGGTCACAATGTGAAGCAAAATTGTGATGATTCTGATTTCAATTAAAGGAGGTGCAATAGTTAGTGAGACTGTTGACAGAGAAGCTTTTTCAACTTTGCTAAGTGCAGCTTTAAACAAGTAAACAAAATGTCTGCCTAAAGTTGTTGCCTTTGGCAATAAAAAAAGCAATTAACAATAGGTTATTTCATATATTTCTCTTTATATTTCCACGTTTTAATTTACCTATTTATTCCTTAATTTATTCCTGTTTGTATTTGCATATTTATTTTCGTATTGTTTTTTATGGCTCTCCTATCACTCCGTGGCAGACTTCAGTACCCTATGTTGGATCACCAGCCGTTTGGCTAGGTCTCCATGTTAACCGCAGTTAGTTGGTGATGATGATGATGGTGACTTTTGAGTTTGTTGATACAACATGGAAATTACTTTTATGTTTGACGTGCATTTGTAGAACATGCAGGTAAACATAACTCAGGTGAAAAGGCGTCTTCCTTACCTGTTCAGTAATTCCAGAATCTCATATTCCCATTAGGGGTTTCGGGAATCAAGCATGTACGCTCACGGAGAACGTCAGTCGTAAGTTACGCAGCGCATTTGACCAATAGAATAGCAAAGTGTCGTGACGCCACTTCCTGACCGGTAGTTTTGCGGGAAGTTTGGACCTAATACAGTTTAGCTCACAGTCAACGATAAACAACAAAGTGAAGGTGTGTATTCATCTTATATTTCAGCGAAATGTGTAACTGTCGCTCGCGTCGACAATGTCGCAGATATTCACAAGCGTTTGTTATCATACATCGTCACACGACAGCTAACGTGAGACATCGATGCTAACGAGCCAGCGCAGTTAGCAATGTAGCTAACTAACGTTTGTAAAAACGTAATGTCACGATTCACCACCACCTTGCTAACGTAACGGTGGCGTTTCCCAACGTGGTCTGCTCACAAACGCCTTATGTTTAACGGCAAGAGGTTGTTACCTTTGCATTATACATACTGGTGATTAGTGTGTATTAAAACCTACAGTCTATGGTGTACGCACTTTACGTCGCTGTGAGTTAACAAGTGAACTCAGGATGTGGTTAGCTAACTTCACCAGTAAATCAATCAAAATACCATGTAAGACCGAGGATAAAACACTTGTGTTTGTATTTGTATTTGTATTATGTCACAAGCGACATATGAGGACTCATTGGTCCGTTCACAATGTACAGCTAATGTATCTACTTAAGGCTGTGAGGCATGGAGTAGCACTAACAGCCCCAGATGACTTGTGTTTTAGATGCCCCCTAAAGCCAAGGCGGCAGGGAAGGGCAGAGCTCCAGTTAAGAGGAAGCTGGCAGAGGAATTCCCACCTGGTGAAGTCCTGACAGACACCGGGAAGAAGTCCTGGAAACTGGGGGTTCCAGTTGGCCAGGGGGGGTTTGGCCTCATATATTTGGGTAAGAACAGATGTGACACTGATCACCAAGTTCAAAAGTCGAACATGGAGTGTTAAAATACATCTATAGATAATTTGAACCCATTTTTTAACATTCTTCAGATTTTGTTTTTCTCAGGCAAAATGTAATACCTGAACTTGGGCTGGGATACTAACATTGATAATACTTAACTATTTAAAACCCTCTGGAGTCTGTCTGTATTGTAGTTTTATTTCCTAAATGTTTCTGCCATGTTTGTATCTGTTAAAAATGAAACAATATTTTTTACTACCTTGAATTGTTGTATTATAATACTTTGTGTGATTATCCCTGATGTCATTGGCATCTGTGTCATTTTCTTGTATTTTGGGATGTTGGCAGCTTTGGTAAATTGACAAAATGGTAAGTCAAACTTATAGCTAAGTTTGTGCTTAAAAAGGACATCATCCATGTGGGGTACATACAGGTTAAAAGGTGTAAAATACAAAAATTAATGCAGCAGAATGGGTTAATGTATTTAAATGCAACTTTGTACTGTACTGTTTGTACTACAAGATATAACCTAAGTCTAACATTCCCGTGATTTGTAAGTTTAGCTCTAAAATGATTCTTTTTCTTGTTCTCTAGCCGATGAGAATTCTGCTAAATCGGTGGGTGCTGATGCTCGCTACGTGATCAAAGTGGTAAGTCTCTAGACAACCTGAAAACATTAACTGAAATTGTGTTGTAAACATGTTTTCTTCTTTTATATATGTACATCACATGTGCACTTCCCATAATAAAACATCACACCTTGATATGTACACAGCCCACCTTGACACTTGGTTTTACACATTACAGGTTGTTTTCAGTAGTTGATGTTTTGTTTTATGATAATTTTTTTTTACTGTATGATAGTAAGTTTTAAGAAAGTTTACATGAATTTCTCTCAAATCATATTGTGAGTTGACTCTATACATACAGAGGTTGAGCACTATGGCCCAGCAAGTGAGAAGGTTTTTAGATCAAGTAATGTAATTTCACTGGAGTGAGTCCAGGATTTCTTCATTGGTTTATGACATAGTTAAACCAGTCTGGTTAGCTTCTCCTCTGTAAGATCAAAACTCATCAGAGTGAGATCTGACAGTAAAACCAGCAGTCTGAAGCAGTCAGAGCTGTGCAGTTTCACCTTATTTTCTGTCTCTGCCCTTGGTTGTCAATTTCAACAAGTAACAGACAACAGCAGGGGGAATCACAGCAACCTTTCCAGTGCTGTACCTCTTTTTATTTAGACATACGTGGATTCTAAAATTCTATCCAGGCAGATGACTGTTCAACCAATTTGAACTATTTGTTTTGGTTGGTTAGTTTTGTTTGAGTCTGTGTTATGTTATTTGGATTGGGAACACGGATAACTAACTAGGTAATTCCTCTGACCTTTAATACCTGAGTTCACTTGGTCATTGTTGGCAATGTATCAATAGAGAGGTAACAACAACTTTGCATTAGGGGTGGGCGATATGACGATATTAGATCGTGAAGGATTACAACGTGAAGACGATCTTTCAAACTGCAGAGATCGTGGGATCGTCTAGGGCACATTCTATAAATTGCAGTTCTATGCGGATCCCCCGTCGCACCAGACGTATTGACGTCGTCAACCTGACCGACCAATCATAGCGAATTACGGGCAGTGACGCACTTTCCTACCCGCCTCCTTGTTTGTGTGTGTAGCGGTAGCACATGGAGAGCGATGGCTGAAAGCCAAACGGAGTTGGTCGCTAAAAAAATTCCACCTCCATTATATGGAATTGGTTTGGATTTTCCGCAACTGATCAAGCGCAAGCAAATGTAATTTGCAAAGTTTGCACAGAAACCGTTCGCACGTCGGGTGGTAACACGACGAACCAGAATGTTGTTGTTGTCTACCTTAAACTTTACGTTGTTTGCACATGCAGGCAAAACTGCGACTATTTGAAATAAAATCTGTTAAGAAAGGTTCTTTGGTCTAAATTGTCTGTTTTTCTTTTTCCAATTTAAGATCGTGATAAAATCGAAATCGTGATTTTATTTTTAAAAAATCGTGATATGATATTTTTGCCATATTGCCCACCCCTACTTTGCATGAACGTTTTACTAATGCTGTCATTATTGTTGCTGTGTGCGCTTTAATGTAAAGCACACTAATGTGCTATATAAATAAAGTGACCTGGCCTTGTCTTATGGCAGTGTTGGATTTTATGTGATTTAAATATCAATGTGGTGAAGTGCCTCCATTTGTTAGGTATGTCATTTGCTTGGTAAGCTGAAAAACAGACAATTCCGGTTGTTTTATCAATCTTCCAAAAATGTAACATTTGAGTAAATGTCACTATTGCCATATATAAAATCGCATATACAGCATCTTCTCTCCTGTTGTATGTGGTCTTTGAAATGTGTTCATGTTTGTCTTTTAGGTAGTTAGTACACCAAACAACACATTCATTTTCACTGAGAAACAGTGAGAAACATAATTTATTCAGACCTCTGTATCGGCACAGCTTGGACTCCAATGACAAAGCTCCAGAAAAACAACCAACTAAAATGCAGGTCATCTGGCAAAAATATGTGAACATGGCTCAAGTTAACCCTAACATGGTAAGACGTCAACCAGCAAGGTGCTGCACTGGCCATTCAGATATGTTCAAGAACTCATTCCTTGTAGATTACTTTGTACATGAATGGTGTAATTCTGTTTCCAGAGCTGTAAAAGTCTGTTTCATTGTATTATAAACCAATGTGTGTGATAAACCTTCAAACTCAAGGATCTATCTGTCACACTGGACCTTTTACCTGCACCTGTAACAAGACGTCTGCACTAACACAGCCCAGTGTTTTTGATCCAAACACCTGTTAAACTAAATCAGGACATAAATGTTGTTTTGTCCACAGGAGCCCAGTGAAAATGGACCACTGTTCTCGGAGCTCAAGTTTTACATGCGAGCTGCTAAGCCTGATCTGAGTAAGCCACATTATAATTCCTTATAAACATGCACATACCCACACACACCCCCCTAGAAGTACACCAACAAACCATAGTTAGCCTTGTGATCACAGCACAACGTAGTCTCTCACCATCAGGGCAAACAAATAAAAGAAAGCTAACTTTCTTAATTAAAAAAGACAGTCTTGTAGCAGAGGCATGGGGGGTCCTACAGAGGAAGGGAAGCATTTGGTGGAAGCGCTGTTGGCCCCCAGGCCACAGCTTTGCATTTTATATAATAACAATCCAAATGTCAATCTCCCCTGACAATTAACTGTTATATTACTAAGGAACCAAAGGCTCATATTTTATTCATGCTGGAATCTCACGTTGTTGGTAAATATTTGTCCCAGCAGCAGATTAGCTCGCAGCCACGCTGCCCGGCTCCCCCCACGGAATTATACTCTTATTACTTTGAGCATCACAGCCGTCACCCACTTACACCAGCACCAGTTAGCAGTGTGTTCATATGCAGTTTCTGTAACCAAAGTGACTTTACATGGTATACATGTAGTAGATTTACATACAGACTTTTAGGACATTTTAACCAGAAAGATCTCTTTAAAATTTCCTCTTGCCCTGCAGTTCAAAGCTGGATGAGGTCTCGCAAGCTGAAACATCTGGGGGTTCCTAGGTACTGGGGCTCAGGTCTACATGAGAGAGGAGGGAAAAGGTAAGGATCTGACCAAAAAGGCTCACACTTAATACCCATTCCCATTTTATGTTAAAAAAAAAAATGTCATGTCCTATCAAACTTGAATTGATTTCTCACCAGAAAAGTAATAATATCTTCTATATATATATTTTACAGGACCTGCAGATATTGACAAAAAAGTTAAAATTTTTCTCTATGGCCTGAACAAACAAATTATGGTCTGATCAGTACAACAGAAAGCTCTACATGCCATATATCTACTGCTTTTACTGCAGTTACACCAATAAGTAATGCAGCTTGAATGGAGTCTTGTTTGTGCGTTCCAGGTACAGGTTCATGGTTATCGACAGGCTTGGCACAGACCTGCAGAAGAAGTTTGAAGAGTGTGGAAAGCGGTTCCCCAGAAAACTGGTTCTGCAGCTCAGCCTTCGACTGGTTGGTTATTTCATGATCACATTGTTGATTTTGATTTAAGTATGATATACAACATTATGACATCTAATAAGTTGATAATGACTTTCAGTGTCTTCAGTGGTTGTTTTGAAGCAGCGTTCTATTAAAAGCTGCTTTAGATTATTATAGTGAGTGCAACGTTGTGACACACACACATAGTTGTCAACAACTGCAGTTTCTCTCAGCGCCAAATGTCATTTAATGTCTTTCAGCTCATTGTTATAGTTTTAAAGTTTGCCAGCGTGACTGTGTGGTTCATTGTGACATTGGTTTTTGTTTGAATGCGGTCTGAAAGTGGGCTTAAAGGGGTGTTCCTGATCACCCAACAGTCCGATTAAACTTAATTTTTTACCTCATTTACACCAGGTATTAAGTTGGACAATAGTGTCTAATCAGGGGTCTCTGCATTAACACCTGGTGTAATAAGTCTTCTTGTTATCTTGATTGTACCTGCACAGTGATACGGTCTCCATGTGAAAATTAGGTGGGTGATGGTGTGAAGAAATCAAGGAAAGCAATGGCAGATTGTCCTGATGGGTGTCCTGTATGACCTGCAAGCTGTAGATGTTAGACTGACATACAAGTTGTTCAAATTAATTAAAACAAAACACACATAGCTGAATTATCAAACTACGGAGGAGAATTAATGTTCCAGTCTTTCACCGAGCGGCAACCTGACATTACTGTAACGCAGATGTGTTTTACAAAGTCAGCGAACAACCTGAACTTTAGCCACAGTTTCTCCAAAATTCTTCCTCACTTTACTTCTCAGATGACTCTGTGTCAGGATTAGCTGCTCTGCTTGGCTCACTAGTATGTTCCATTTTGCATTAATAAGGAGAACAGCTCAGTTTACTAGTAGGTCAACAGGGTGTCAGTCAGTGAATTACAGAGAGGCTTTGCTAACTATGGTAACATTAGTCATACTGTAACAAATTAATCAGAGCAAGACTAGACGCTATGCCGGCAACACTCGTCACATGACCCTCGTCTTGCATGTTAAAAAGATCCCTCGAGAGTCAGGAAGAGCTCATCTGGTCACGTGACCCATTAAGTGTTTGGCAGATTTCTTGTCCGAACTGGTCTTATCACAATGTGAGCAAGGCACATTCAGATGTGGTCGATCAGATAGAGTTACATTCTGATTGTGATGTGTTCTGTGTGTGTTCGCACCTGTGTTAACATGCTGTTTTCTTAACCCAGACAAGCTCTGTCCAGATACACATCATATCTCAAAGCTCCATCTTTTCCTCTTCTTCTCTGTTTTATTTGAAGTGTTGATCCATAAGAAGATATATTTGTGGTTTTAAGAACCAAAAACCATCTCAATGTAGTTTTACATCTCCTCTCTCAGGCTTCTCTCTGGAGTGATACTATAAAAATATAGCAGATTTCAGGTAAACACTCAGAAATGAAATCCTGCAAGTTTGGATGGTGGGTTCAGGTGGGCGCGGCTTGGGGCGTGGCTGAGAACAGTGACTGCCTTGTTGTGACATCACAAAGTCCTGACGGCTGGTTTTGAGGCTCAGTTTCTGAATACAGGCTGTGTGCATTTCTCTGTGGACTGAGGCTTTGATACTTTCACAGTATTAATATAGAACCTAGACCTGATCTATAATCAAACTACACATGGACAGAGACCTTTATACTATATGGGGCCTTAATACCAGCTAGAAATTGACTTTGTCTTGATCTAAAACTGTTTTTCTTGTTTAGCTGGATATTCTGGAGTACGTCCATGACCATGAGTATGTACATGCTGACATTAAAGCATCCAACCTCATGTTGAGCCACAGTGATCCCAACCAGGTCAGTAGAAGTTGAAGCATCATGACTTTATTTCTATTTAGGTTCCACAACCTTACATTTTCAGCCCCTCGTTTCTTAATGTTGGGAAACTAAGGTTCTGCTCTGACCCTGCTGCTGTTCCCTAAAAGCAGGAAGATGATTGTGTTTTTTTGATCATAAGACTATAGTGCTGCTTCATTAGATTAGATTCAATTAAGGCCTGAAGAGAAGGTGGTGAGGGGGGGTGGGGGATTAGATGACAGCAGCAAAGAGCTTTTTCTAGCAAACAAGGTAGGGGCACGGGCAAATATTTAATTTGAAGATTAATAATATATCAGTGGTGGTATTATTAAAGAGGTATTTATAAATAACAATTTAAAAACCGGCCCCTCAGGATTTTGATATGAGGTGTGTTTGTAGCTGTGGTGTTTTTGATGCTTTCCCCTGGAGTTACTGGGATGTAGGTTTGGTTTTATTACGATACGTTTTTTTTTATTTATTTATTTATTTTTTTATTAAAGCAAATAAGCAACTGTAGTGTATAAGCATAATGCAGACTAAATAATAATAATAATGAAGCTGTATTAATTAATTTAGGTGGAATTACATTTTAAACTCCAAAGGGCTGGAGTCATCTGCTCCTCCTGCTAAGATAAGCTATCTCTGTGTATAGTGCACAGCCATGTATTTTCTGGGGTCCAAAAGTCTGTATATTTGTCTTGGTGTGAGCGTGTCTGAATTCTTGTTTTTGTCAACTGCAGGTTTACTTAGTAGACTATGGGCTGGCATACAGATACTCCCCTGATGGTGTTCCCAAAGAGTACAAGGAAGACCCCAAGAGATGTCATGATGGCACCATCGAGTTCACGAGCATCGATGCTCATAAAGGAGCATGTAGGTACAAGTAGACCACAAGGAGTTTTTCTGATCATAAAACCAAATGGCCAGATCTGTAATTAACAGCATTACAAATACATAGAAACTGTTTCTTGTAGTTCATAGCATGAACGTCTCCTCATATTTAGATAAGCTTCCAAGTAGACGAAACAGAAGACTGGAAGAAAAATCACTTCAGAGGTTATTTTAACAGGACGATTCATCATTTTGGGAAATACACATATTCACTTTCTCACAGAGTGAGATGAGTACTGTCAATGTCATGTCTGTGGGTTAAGTTCCTAGGTGGAGTCAGGATATGATGTTTATAGAAAATAGTTCAATCTCTCCTTTGTTTTTACCTTTGTGTTCGTGTGGATCAAACAAACAAGATATGACGTGTTGGTAGGAGAAGTTTTGAACTGTGTCTTTATGCTTGGTTATCTAAGCCAGTGGTTCTCAAACTCGTTAACGTTAAGGATCCCTGAGAGGACACAAATTAGACCACAGACCCCTGTCTGACAAGATTTTTGCTTTTAGATGTTTTATTACAGAAAGTGTTTGAAACCCATGACCAAAACACTCATACACCCTGTCATTGTGTTACTTATGGATGGAATTATAGTGAAAATAAATGAGTCCCCTTTTTGCCGGCCCTCAAAGATCCCTAGGGGTTCCTGGACCCTTCGTTAAGAGCCACTGATCTAGGTTAACCACGTCCTGACTCCAGCTTCATATGAGATTGATATTCTCATCTCACTTTGGGAAAGAAAACAGATCAGCCCATTGTAAGATAAAATACATTTATTCAATCACGTTATGGTATTCACAGCTGGATGACAGAACATTTCCCCTGTATATGTTGGCATTGATATTAGTGTCAGTGTCTAAAAGAAGCTGCTCAGAGTGTTTGCTGCTGCTGATGCGGTTGTTGTCTCCAGCTGCATGTAGGCGGAGCGACCTGGAGATCCTGTGCTACTGCATGGTTCAGTGGCTGTGTGGCCGGCTGCCCTGGGAGGACAAGCTGCAGGACCCCGTCTATGTCAGAGACTCCAAAATCAAGTGAGAGAGGAACATTTGACAGTAGCAGTACCTCTGTGGATCTGTGTTGTGATGTAGCAAATGAAGGTTCAGGAGACAGTGCTACGTCTATGGTCCTTTTATTGGCACTCTGTTAAAGATATTCCCAAAGCACAAAAATCATCAGCTGTGTGTGTCTGGCATCAGGCTACAAACAGAAAAAGCTTCTTTTTTCAGCTAATCTGAAAATACAGCCACAAAACTATAATAATACACATTGCAGATTGAATGTAACAAGAGTAGCAAACAAAACTTTGTGCTCGTGCATGAAACAAAGGAAAGAAGAAGAAGAGGGGAGGTAGGGGGAGCAAGGCACGGTAAATCAAGCGCATAGTAACAGATAACATTAGCATCAACAGCTGTTTACTTAGAAGAAATGTTGCAAGTTCAGCATCAATCTTCATTACTTTATTCACCAAGAGCTGTTTTGCTTCTATTTCTATCACTTCTTTTCTTCTGCTGAAGATAACTTGCTAACCAGCTAGCTCCAGCCCGGTCAGCACATCTCGTCACTTTCTGATATCGAGTCATTGTAGCGTCTAGGCTGCCTGTAAAAGCAGCGCTGCTCAGACGTAATATAAGCTCTTGTCTTGCACACATGCACACACACATTGCAGGAGAGGAGATGTGCTAAAGCAAAAGAAATACATACATAAAATGATTTGGTGGAATTCAGTCACTCGTATTACCCTGTTGCACCTGCAGGTAAATGTTTTATGTTTTATACAAAGTAATTTTGCAGTTTTACTTTTTACCTAGATTGGTTTGTATTAAACTTGTGGGGAAAAATCATGTGACTTGTTTCTCCCTAACAGGTGTCAAGAAAACATCTCCCAGTTTATGACCAAGTGTTTCTCCTCTCAAGACAAGCCAGGTGAGAAAGACACACACACACACACACACACACACACACACACACACACACACACACACACACACACAGGTGGCAAACACGGGTGAGTCATGACCATTAATAACATGAGAGAACAAGTAAAAATCCTTTGATAACAACCCTTACCTTCCTGTTTCTCCAGCTGCTCAGTGGTCCAGTAGTACGGTACTGTTTGTGTGTCTTTTCCCAGCTGATGGCTCAGACAACTGGGTTAAACCTCACCATACAACAAATGTTTCCTCCACACACAGACAGACATAAATAGAGGGGAAAATGGCTACCAAAGTGAACGACATCTTTCCTTTATCCTTATCCCGATCTAATTAGAATCTTTCAAAGTCAGACCTACTTGGTTCTCATTAGGATGTTGAAGCTGTGGCTGTAAATGGCGACTCTGACGTGTGTCTTCTCACTGGGGTGAGAGTTGCCGTTCTAATGTTGGCACTTTGACCTGCAGGCAGAGTGTGGGTTCAGGCAGAGGAGACAAACACGAAGCGTCAAACCTCCTTCCTTCTGCTCTGCTGATCACAACCAAACTGTTGTTTGCAACTCCATCTGTGTTTGTGTTTGTGTCTGTGTGTCGAGTCTGAAAAGAGTCACACCAAACAGAATTAAGCACAACGCTGTGACCAGAGCAGAGCATTATGGTGATGACTGTGTGTTGGCACAAAGATGAACATGAAGACAGAGATGTTCAAGTCCAGTCAGGGTTTTTTATTTAGTCTGCCAATGTAATGCGTCACAGAACAAAATGATGACATTCAAAATTCAAATAAAGGCGAGGGAGAAATACATGAAAAGGACTTGATATACTGTCATGTGTAAAAAAAGATATAACATGGCCTGTGTGGTGTGGCTCTGTTGAGTTGCAGATGAGATCCAGAAGTTCATGGAGGAGGTTAAATCTCTAGGGTACCAGGACAAACCACCGTACGAGAAGCTGCGCTCCATCCTGCAGGCCGGGCTCAAGACCATCAAGGCTAAAAACGATGACAAGCTCGAGTTCACTCCAGTCAATGGAGCTGCGTCACCTCGTGCTCAGGTCAGCACACACACTCTGATACACACAACAACTTCAGCAATTCAAGTAATAAAACTACTACTAAAAGGAATCATCTCCCTCTGACCAGGTTCATTTTATTGTGGACCATGTAAGATCATGTAGCGCTGAAGGGCTGGTGTTTAGAGAGAGAGAGGCTACCACCAAGCTGTTGCTGCATATAGGGATCAGCAGCTGCCTGAGCCNGATACACACAACAACTTCAGCAATTCAATTAATAAAACTACTACTAAAAGGAATTATCTCCCTCTGACCAGGTTCATTTTATTGTGGACCATGTAAGATCATGTAGAGAGAGAGGCTACCACCAAGCTGTTGCTGCATATAGGGATCAGCAGCTGCCTGAGCCTTACCAGTTCTAAACTACACCTGCTAACAGGAAGAAATCCTCATCCATATTATGCCTCCATGATGGCGACAAGCATGTTGTTTTCAGGTTGTCCCTCTATCCGTCCCATTCTCATGGACACAATATCTCAGTAACGCCTTGAGGGTATTTCTTCAAATTTGGTACAAATGTTCACCTGGACTCATGGATTAACCGATTAGATTTTGGTGGTCAAAGGTCAAGGTCACGGTGACTGGATTAACCGATTAGATTTTGGTGGTCAAAGGTCAAGGTCACGGTGACCTCACAAAACACTTTCTGGTCATAACTCAAGACTCCACACAGACAAAATAATGACAAAATTTCACACAAATGTTTAATATTTTATATGAGCCTGGATAAACATGGATATAATGTGAAACTAGTCTGAGTGGAGGAGGAGGTGGGATACAATGACGAGGAGGTAATTCTATTTTGTTTATGTAAAAGTAGCAAAACCACATTTTAGAAGTCCTGTTAGAAGTAAAAGTCCTGCATTCAAAATGTACTTAAAGAACATGATGAACGACCTCATGTTTCTGTCTGACTACATACAGGATGAAATGTTTGAAGACTGAGGCCACTGAAAACTGTAGAATCATTACTTTAATTAAACAGCATATAGCAGCTGTAATACATGTTTTCTAATAGGTATACATTCTAACATTTCATTTACAATTGGTCGTTATTTGTTTCCTGCTTTCCATCTTCTTTTCTCTACATCCCTCCTCCACTCCTGCTCTCTTCCCCTCCCTCTCTGTCCCTCTCTTGCTCTCTCGCTCTCTGTGCATATGGAAGATGCCACCAGGGACGTGGCGTTGCCAGCCGAAGGGTTACCGGGCCCCGGCGCTGGTTATTGTATGTAATTATCCCGCCAATCTGTTCACCTCAGCGGGTGCCGCATGGTGATCATGAGGTAGCAATTGTCAAAATGGAGGCAAAAATGGAATGGGGGGCAGGGGGTGAGTGATAGTTCAGACTGAGAGTGCAGCTTCATTATAGAGGCCCAGGAAGGAGGAGGATGGACGCAGGACTTGATTGCCTTCGTTAAGTGCAGGACTCTCTTAGGGGCCACATTTCTCTCTGCGTCCTGAGCAGACCCCACGCTCACACTGATTTCAGGACAGAAATAATAAAGTCATCGTTGATGGAAAACTCTTTGCTGTATTAGCATTGATTCTGGGAGACCTTCAGCTGTGTTGACCCCACTGTTAACACGCACTTTACAAGCAGAAGAAAGGAAGCCGGAGAGTTTGTTTGGTGGTTCGTGGTCAAAACAGTGGAACAAATAATCGCATGTTTTAATGGATTAATGTCTGCGAGGTCTTGGTGGCTGCTGAGATGGCAGAGCAATAATTGCCTCTGCTCAGGCTTCACACACAGACGGCTGGAGGCTCTGAGAAGTCAGGTCGCCTCATTGCCAAGTCGAGGCCTCATCTCTTTATTCCTCTCACCATCAGATGCTGTAGGCCTCAAGAGCGTTTAGTTCAAAACAAGAACAGCCTAGTTGTAAGTCATTAAACTCTTTAGAGTTAAAAGACTGTGTGAAGTCCATCAGGACGTTTCCTGCTTAACTACAGGGGTAAAAAAAAAAATGTCAGCTTGTGTCGATCTGTCAGAAGGAAGAGAAAAGGCTCTTGTATGTTTTGAAGAAGAAGCGGCAACAAACTACACAACCAACAACCGAGTGAAAGGTTTAAACATGCACATACTGTCCGTCCATGTTCACCCACCTCCAGCTGACAGACACAAGACGATGACCCTTTTCTTCATTTTCTTCTTTTCTTTTTCTTCTTCCTCCAGAAAGCAGCCAAGAGAAGAAAAGCAGAAGATGAAGAGAGTGAGACTGATGGAAGTCCCATGAAGAAAAAGAGAGTAACCAAGAAAAAAGGTAGGATGAGATCAGAGATCTGTGAGGTCATTCTGTCCATTTACAGTTTGTTTCCAGCTCTTTTACACTGAAGAACCACACACAATAGTAACCACCATCTTACAGTTGCATCTGCATTGACCTGGACAACCATTAAAAAAATGTTTAAAAAGTACAGAGAGCCGTCACAGCCACCAACAGTCACAGTCATTCAAACTTGCAGAATTTGGTTTATCTGAGTGTTTACCTGAAATCTAATATATTTTTATTCGATCTCTATTAAGAATTCTTACTGATGTTTTGTTCAGCCTCTTTTCAGCGTTTAATCTTTTAACACTTTTCTTCTACCGATCGTTGCGTTACTTTTGTCTTGCTGTTTTAAATGCACAATATGTGGGTCTCTCAATTAAAACAATAATGGTGATGTCGTTAAGTAGTGTGGGAGTAGAGTTATTGTCTTTACCATCATTGCAGTCAGCTTCTCCAGGTTTTGATTCAGGATGTTCAGGATGCTCTTACCGAGAGCCAAATTATCCACAGTGGTCTCCTCTTCAAAAGAAAACTAACCCAGTGGTTTAAAACACTGAATAAAGGAGTTTCACATTAAAACTCAGTGTTTTTCTGACTCTTTTCAGTGGACACATGCTGGAGGGGCTGTGAGCCCAGCTGCCCCTAACATTTGCTCAGATTATTATGATCTGAATTATGATCCAGACGTTCAGGAAGTTTTTAACAGGAGTGTAAGAGGTCTCTTCCTCTCTTAAACAAACCGACCTGGTGATTAAATCTGGTAAAAACACTGAATAAAGTAGTTTCACTAGTTCTCTGGCGCTGTTCAGGATTCTCTGATCTCTGGGAGCCCAGCGTCGTCCGAAACTAAGCATGAAGACAGGTCTGGCTATGAAAGGCTACATTAACATTAGCTAGTGAGGGAGCTGGGAATTGAACCACAGCCCTTACAATTTGACATCTTGAGGTGGATGACTTTAAAATGTCAAATAAGTGTAAAAAATATGGGGCATTTTTAAAGATGAACATTCCCAAAGCTAAAAGCTAAAACCATTACACCCTGGCTGCCAGTAGTATTTGGTTAGAGGAGGCAGTGCTTAGAATCCAGAAGTGTCTGAAAGAAATCGAGCAAAGAACTAAAACAAGGTCTAATGTTCACCATTATTGTTTGGAATCTTAACATGCTTATATTTACTAATTAGTACTAAATACAAAGTACAACTGAGTCTGATGGAAATGTCTTTAGTTTGTGTATTTGGTCATAAACCAAAGTTTTGACCTGATGATGGTAGAGATCAAAATTTCATGGCAATCAGTAGTAATGAAGAAAGAATAGTTGAATCATTGCATACTTTTTTTTATTTCCTGTTCCTTGTCTTTACCTTTATTATATCAAGTCATGCAGGTGTTTAGAGCACCAGAGAGAAAACATCTTCACTGTGTTCCACTGTACAAGAGTGAAGCTTGAGTTTTGTATTGAAGTGGTTGAAAGCATTGAATGCACATCAAAATTGCATAAAAATGTTTTGATTGACTCAAGTGAAAGACCTAAGTCATAGTAAGCAGTGTCAGTGATTATTGTGTACTGCCCTGCTTAAACCCGATGACTTTCCCCCTGCAGAAGTGAATGGAGTGAAGAAGACTCGACCAAAGAAGGCTGACCCCAAATCCAGACTAGTGGAGATGGGGACCCAGACTTCACCTGGACTTGCCAAGAGATCCAGAGGCAGACCCAAGAAAACCAGCACCTAAGCATCCAGATGTGCCTGCACTCCTCCTTCCATCCTCCTGTCTTTCCTCTGCCTCCTCCCTCCATCCTCCTGTCTTTCCTCTGCCTCTTAAAACTGGACTTTTTCAAGTTTTATATGGTGTTATTTTCTAACTGTTATGCACTGATAATGGTTGATGTTTGATTTTATTTGGTGTACTTAAAGTCAGAGCCATTGTAATAAAGAAGAAATTAAATTGTCCATGTTTTGTCTTTAATGAAACCTCACTATTTATTAATAGGAAGTAAGTAAGTAAACTTTATGTAGAATGCCTCTCAAAACCAGGATTACAAGGTGTTGTATAGTGAGAACAAGAGCTAAAAAAAACTAGATAAAAATCCAGTAATGATCTCATCAACAAAGCACAAATAAATTATTTATCAGGCATTAATGAATCCATCAGTAAATGAATGTGTCCAGCAACGACAGCTGCTCTATTTGAAAGAAGTAAACATGTCTCACTTCTAATTTCATCTCACTTCTAAATCACTTTGGATAAAAGTGAAAAATGCTGAATGAGTAAATGTAATGTTCAGGTGAATCTGATTACAGGGAGTTTTTCAGTGAGGAAACAGCAACACCAGCTGTGACACATTTACTTATGTACTCAAACATTACACGTGAATGTGACACTGAGTCAGACCTTTGACAGATTAAATGCGCCATCGCTGAGATCAGTTGATCAGCTCAGCTAATGTAAGAGGAGACAGGATGATGATCATATTCTGTGAACAGACTCAGTCAGATCTCTGTCCTCCTGTCCTTCTCCGTCCTGCTGCTCAGACGTCACATTCCTGACGGATACTTTTCAAGTTGTTGTGAAACTTGTGTCAAATCATCAGAGAAACATTTCACACGAGGAGCTGCTGACAGGCTGTCCATTTTCCTTCCATCCACCCCTGTCCTAAAGCTTATGGACCATCCCCGGTGGGACCCCCCCACCTTCCTCATTAACTCCCAACAGGCTGTCCCTGTCCCCCCCCCGCCCCCCTCTTTCCCCATGGAGGAAGACATCTCCACCAATGTTAGTGTTGTGACGGCCCATGGGGGCCCCTGTGGCGGCCCCCGTGGCGGCTGGTGGCTTGCCATCGATTGTTCCAGCCTCTTCAAGAGTAAAGAGCCCCCCGCCTGGCTTTTCCCTCCAAACTCCCCACCCCCACCCTTGCCATCCAGACACTGACCTTGGGGCCGTCACAGCCACAGTCTCACAGTAGGAGGCAGTAGTACATAATGACAGCAAATGAATGTAGGTGTGTGTGTGTGTGTGTGGTGATGGTGGTGATGGTGGTGGTGGTGGTGGTGGTGGTGGAGTCGGCATTTAATGTTTCCATTGGAGTGAAAGTAGTTCAACACATGGCAATTTTAACAGGGCACTTTTCCAAGGAGCAGACATCTGTGGAATGCAAGTCGTCTGCCCTGCTCTTGACACAGCCGCTGCCTTTTGCTTGTTGCCGGAATTTGACTTTAAATAGATGATAGAAATTATGACAAGCCTTTGAACGGCCAGTGTGTCCTGAGCAAATGTGCCCCGCTGATGAAAACTATAATAAATCTCCCTCCTCTTTGCCAGCCCTGCCTGCCCCGCTCGCTCACTGTGACAGCCCGCACACAGGCTAACACGAGGGGTATGTTAATAATGCCAGTGCGTGACATTT